CCTGGCGACTGCTACTACTTATTATGTGTGGGAGAGTCTATTAACAATAGAATAGGTATGTTCCGGTATAACATGTTTATACCAATTTCTTGCAGTTTCCTTCCCGTAAAAGTTATAGATTTTCCGGTGCAGATATTGGCCCATCTTTCATTCCAAGTTTTATATTAGGTGGATATTAATACCGTGCAACCTGATACAAGATATTCATCACAGAATCTACGATTGGAATCCCCACACTTTTTCAGTTCGTTTGTTTGGTAATTTCTATTTAGCAAGCATTGATTCTGTTCAGCAAGAATAAAACCTTCCATTTCAGTTTTTAATCCTGTCATTCGCAACAACTAGTGGATATCCGGTTTGTATCCATCAGCTTCTTTGTCAAGGGCAGAGTATTGACTATAGAGACTGTTTATCCTACCATCGTTTCTGCATAGTGCCCATTACAATTGCTTTCTATTTTACGTTCTCTTAGTAGGTTAGATTATGGCTTACTTGCTTTTCTTCACCCACTTTAAATTCTATTTTGAATCTGTTGGCTTTCTTTATGACGGAACGAAGCTTTGTATTTCTTTAATATTCTTTGACACAGTCCTCTGTAATTTCTCAGTATCTTTAAAGGCTCGTTGCTGTTATTTCATAAGATAATTCTAGTTGAACTAACCCACTAAGGATTATCTGTCTATATTTCTGAGATGAGGTATTATGTACACTATTTACATTATTCGGAATATTGTCCTCATCTTTGACGCCATATTTATTACAACGTTTCGACCGTTGTACACTCCGGCCTTCTTCAGGTGGTTGGAATGTCGTACTGAACCCTTTATTTCACTCACTGGGGTAGACTGTTCTAGTTCCACGTGCCATGTTTTGATGGATGTCAGTTATCCGCTATCTCCTGTTAATTTCCCTCTGAAAGTTCCCCTCTGCCTTAACTGGGTATTGAACTCACACTCTTTGGAACCTGTCACTGGATGGGCACAGTGTATAAAGTTTGATCCAGTGACAGGACCCAAAGTGTGTGAGTTCAATACCCGGTTAAGGCGGGGGAGAACTTGGAGAGGGGAATTAACATATGGTAAATATTTTCAACTGTGAATGGATGGGACCTAGCCGCCAATCTAGTACAGCGCTTAAATTCATAAAGTCTAGGTAGCTTAGCGAAGAGTTCACCCGAATAATTATCATAAATGTATTTACAGGAAAGGCACATGGAAGCTACATTATGGTGGTTGGAAAGTGACTTAAGTCGAGATACTATGTTAGGACCAATAATATTGCAGATTCTTCTTTGGGTTTTCATCAAGATTCTCTAGATATACAGCAGAAGCACCGGACCATATGTGGCAGCAATATTCAAAGTATGGGCGAATGGTAGGCATATAAATATGTAAGATAGATTCAGGGGAGAAAAACTGACTCGTACGACACAGGGAACCAACTTTCTTAGTAGCAGACCTACCAATGGATTCAACAAAATGTTTCAATTTCATGTCGGTCGTGCATGTGAGCCCAGCCAGTCACTTCCATGAAGGTTAGTATCAGCCATACTGATGGGAAGCAGGAAGGGTCTCTTCGGTGATCGGTAGAAGGAAGTTTCTTTTTGGAGACGTTAAAATTAACAAGCCATTCCTTGCTCCAGTTAACCACAGGATATATATCATTAATGAGATTAGTTGCCAATTTGACCTTTCTTTTTGTATAGTTTCGTTTTTAGCGAAAGGTCGTTGCCAGATAAACGGAGCCTGGGGTGTTCTTCACACTTTCATGAGGATTCTTTAAAGTCATAAGTGGAAAGGCATCCATGACAAAGTACTCGGGAATTAGCAAAGATGTTAAACACATCACAATTTACCATATGCCGACACTTAGAAAAGATAGGGAACGTCGACGAGCTGGGTGTTTTAGTTCTACACGCTCTTGGGGAAAAGAACAAAGGGGATCGTTTATCCACAGCGACAAGTCTCTTTTCAGAGTAGAAAAATAAGCCGTTCCTTGAATATGTCATAACAGTTGATGAAAAATGAGTTACTCAATAAAATCTTCAGCACAAAAGACAGTGAATTGAACTTCAGCATAAAACACGCATATAACCGCTTCTAGTAATTATGTCCACACAAAGATGTGTATGCACAAAAGCTGTGTATCATCTACCATGTATTCAATTGTGAAAGCATAATAACACCATATTTTTACAACTTCAAAGCTCCTAAGAGAATTAAATTTCGGCATTAAATCACCCATAATGTTTTAATGTGCCGTTAAACAAACAAATCAAATCAGTCATTGATGAGGAAAGCCACTTCGAAATCTGATCCCATGGAAGAAAGTTAATCTTGTGCGAATGCTGTGGCCGGAGGGCAAGTTATTTAGTTAGAGTTCTTAAAATGCAATGAAACAATAAAAGCACATGTATACATTCAGCAATTGGAAACGTATCCCAAAAATGTCATTATTTAGCCAGGATAAAATACTATTTTAGAAGTTGGCTGTTCTGTTCTAAAGCCATATTTAGCTGATCTTACACCAGCCATTTCTCCCCTTTGTCGATTGCTGCAAAACAGTTTGATCGTAATAATCTTCTATAATGAAAACCATATTAAAGGGTTGGTAGAAAGTATTTTGTTTTTTTTTCACAAGAAAACCTGTGGAATTTTGCTCAAAGGGGATTGACCCGCAGCCTAATTAGTGACAGTAATTCGTTGCAGATAATGGTGGATATTTAATTGAATGGGAGTAATCGATAGCGGCTCGGATTGAGGAAACGGAGAGCCGAGTTCGAATTCCAGTCAAATCCATTACATTCACTTACGTGATAATTCACTTGGGAAATTTATGAATCCTCTTGTCCTCTCCCCCACCGGCTATGGGTAAATAGCAGGACAGACTGGGTTCTCTAACCTTGGGTGGTTTTTCCTTATCCTAGACCAGAAGAAGGAAAAACTCTGAATTCAAAAACAGCCTGGAGAGAGTTGAGCTCCGTCAGGCTATCTTGCCCAAGAAACACCACTTCTACTGCGGCTGAAGTACACATGATGCCCGTATGACCCTACAGCGTAAATAGCAGGAAAGACTGGATTCTATAGGCTTGGGTGACAACCGGTCTAGAAGAAGGAAAAACTCTGAATTCAAAACCGGCCTGGGGAGAGTTTATCTCCGTCAGGCTATCTTGCCCAAGAAACACCACTTCCCCTGAGGCTGAAGTACACGTTGTCCCTACGACTCAGGAGTTAAAAAAAGACTTAAAAATTGAATAAATATAATTGTACTTAAGAATAAATTCAATAAAGATAAAGTAATCATATTCTTCTATTTCAATTGTGGCTGACAAATTATTTTCCACCCTCCAACCTCTCTCTCTCTCTTTCACAGGCGGGATGTAGTGAACCTCTCACTGCTCTAACACTACTTTTACGGAAAGTGCTCGAACAAACTATATTCATTGGTTCCGCCAGGCGTAACCTTCACAGCAAGGACTTATAATAGCAAACCACCCACACTCCCTTCGTATTCCATTGGTGTGAAGTAAGTTCCACTTGAACAGCTTCTTCAGGTAAACAACTGCTTTGTGGAACCGACTCCCAAGCGGATGTTTCTCAGATTACTACCATCTTAACCGGTTCAAGATTAACCGTTATCTTCCCCTATTTGCTATTTCAGAAACCAGGTCCAGTCATTCGGACAGAAAATCCACAATAATCAATTAAGTTCAGAAGTAATTTCTGGCTTTTTGAGAACCAATTGCAATGACGAATGTGTCATTATAACTAGTAATCGGATGTGACAGTTAAAAATAAATTTAGTGTACACTACATGCAACAATGCTCAATGCAAAAGGATTTAAAAGGACTAACAAGAATAAATCACCACCACCACCACCAAAATATTAGCTCTATGGAAGAAAGATTATGTTGCGCATATGGTGTGACGGGGTCTTATTAGAGATGTAATGTTCTTAAAAAAACACACTATGAAACATTAAATGCACATTTATACATCCATCAGCTGCAACGTATCCATAGGAAAAACTTTGTTTACGTCCATGACAACAGAAAGCCACGTATAGCAAGAATAACACGAAGAAAATGGGGAGACACAGTGGGCCTCTTTTATCCTTACCGACCATATTCACTAGACCTTGCACCAACCGATTATCAATTTTTTGATCGCTGGAAAGTTAGCGCCGTATGATAATGTATTCTTCCGCCGATTAATATAAACCTTCCACTGCGCCGTTTGCGTCGTATTTAGTCTAAATAAGATTAATGGAGACTGTGTGTCGTAAACACGAATCATCGTAGGTCGGGACTGTCGTAACTCGGGGATTTACAGTAATTCGTATAGAGATTTTCATCGCCTATTAACCTCAGCAGCTACTGCTGCTGCTGTTAACGTCTGTCCTTGTGGCTGTTTTCAATTGAGGTAATCGAGCATCATCGGCTCGAAATGAGAAATCGAAGAACAATGTTCGAATTCCAGTCGGGTTCGTTACATACACTTAAGTGCAAATGCCCTTGGATAAAGGTATGAATCCATCTATTCTCCTCCCAGCTATTGGTTGAATAAAAGGACAAACTGGATCCTATAGCCTTGATTGGCAACCAGTCTAGCGTAGAAAGAAATGGCAACTTACTGCGGGAAAATCTTCTCCCTAGCCGAAAGAGATATGATCGCCTAAGCATGTATCACGTATGGCACTTAACTGACTGAATTGGGGTAGAGGCGTTCCGAGAGTGGCAAGAAAAATATGTCAGGGAGAGGCAAATGACATTTAAATTGAAAGAGGTTGGAGTGACCCGTGAGCAGACTGCTGGTCAAAGCTGCTTCCATTTTTTTTTTTCTGATTGGTTAGAAAATATTTCCTTTTCTTCTGATTGGTTAGAAAATATTTTCCTTTTCTTCTGATTGGTTAGAAAATATTTTCCTTTTCTTCTGATTGGTTAGAAAATATTGTGGCGATTTTCCTTTCTCGTGGCGCGCAGACAAATGTCACTTGAACAATGGCTGCCGAGGTGAACACTTCATTTGGTTTAAGAGACGGAGGTCAAGCAGATTACGAAGTATATATAATGCTCGATACTTGTGTTAGATATTGAGCCATCTACCACAAAGCCTGCTTGACTTAAATGCCTTTAACAGGAAACTACGGAAAAAGCCGCAACTTTGCCTTCAAGTCTTCCAAATCACCACTATATATATATATATATATATATATATATATATGTAAATTTACTAATTTAAAAATATGGTTCCATCGTTACAAAGGAATTACCATGTTTTTTAAAAAGAATCTAAAAACTTCAAATTTAATTATAGAATTAAATTAAAATCCCTAGCCCCGTTTCATTTTCATGCGAATTTTGGAATAACTTATTTTGAAATTTACTGAGTTTTATAAGCATATACATTCATAATATTATCTGCCTATATTTCTTAGACGAGGTATTATGTACATTATTTACATTGTTCGAACTACTGTCCTTATCTTTGTCGTTATATTTATTACAACGTTTCGGCCGTTGTACGCTCCGGCTTTCTTTATGTGGTTGGAATAACGAAATGAACCCTTTATTTCGCTCACTGGGGCAGACTGTTCTAGTTCTACGTGCCACGTGTAATGGATGTCAGTTATCAGTTATCTCCTGTTAATTTCCCTCTGAAAGTTCTCCACTGCCTTAACCGGGTATGGTGTGTGTGTGTGCCTGTCTATGTGCGTGTGTATGTATATTTTAATATATTTTCTGTTTATACGTTATTTTTTATGGATACAATTGATTTGGAATTTGAAGTTCGTGGAAAACAACGCATATCATACTTAGAGAGTTTGAGTAAATAGATGTCGGAACAGGGTTTAGGAGACATAGCAAAAAGATCAAATTTAATAAGAGCTACAAAGGACAGGATTTGTGGAGAGCCATGATTGTCTTTGTCGTGAGGGGAAATGTCAAATAAAGAAGAAAGACGTGAGAGGCTTCCTGCGTTTCCTCTGTGGAATAAGAGTTGCCGGGTGAACAATAATTCATTACCCATACGGCTGTCGACGTTGGACAGTGAGAACTGGGCAACACCAGACCTAGTATGGTAGCAATACTCTAATCTTGGTCTGATCTGACTGTTATAAAGTCTAAACAAAGCACGAAGAGTTAGGAATTTTTTGGAACCATACAATGAAGAAGATTAAATATCTGATGACATTGCCATCTTAACTTCTTCTTCTTCTTCTTCTTCTTCTTCTTCTTCTTCTTCGTTTTATTGGCCCAGGAACGTGAGATTGGCATGTCGAGTTCAAATTCCGGTCGATTCTGTTTCGTTCCATTCGAGCCGGTGCCTTTCTGTCATTTAGCTATCTTCCTGCATATATAGCCGAAAATAGACGACAACAAAAACAATAATAATAATAATGATAAACGTATAAAATAATATTAATAGACAATAATAAAACTAATAATAAAAGTAACAAATGATAATAATAAAAGTAGATAATAAGTAAAATAATAATTATAAATATTTAATTTATTATGAAAACACCCAGGATCGAGTACGCAGGATCGCCTCGTCAGTGATGTTATGACTTGGGGTCAAGACAAGTTTCGGGTCTTCCAACATCCTACTTGTTCGCCCAAGAGACCCTACCGAAACAGTACTTATTCCGGCAGGCGATCCTGAAGCAAAAATCTGTCAAGCACACAACAAATGGACACATTAAGTAACTACCACTGCTGATCTTGAAATTACAAGCGACCAATCATTAACGGCCTACGTCACTTCCTCCTCAGCCAAGACGATACAAAAAGAGAATAAACAACATGTTCGTCTTATTTTTCCATCTTAGGTCCGACACACGGAAAGATCCACATTCTCAACGAACAGTTTGAAATAACAGAAAATGGACAGAAACGTTTACTTTCCTATGAAACGTTGCTTCAAAAAAAGAAGAAAAAACAATATTCGAGCACAGTCGTTGGTCATAAGAATTATAAAATACAGTGTAACTCGGATATAAGAGAGTTATCGGGACCGGAGAAGAAGTCTCTTATATCCGGGTTTCTCTTATATCCGGGTTTGGTCTATTTTATATACATTAACACAGGCTCTAATTTGGGACCAGAGAAAATCTGTCTTATATCCGGGTTTCTCTTATATCCGGGTCTCCTATATCCGGGTGACACTATATAATAAAAATAATAATAAAAGTAGCCATTAATAATAACAATAATAATAAAGGCAGAAAATAATAATAATAATAACAATAATAATGATAATGATAATAAATGACGAAAATAATAAAAAAGTAAAAAATAATAATGATAAATATGATAATAAATATCGAAAATAATAATAATAATAATAAATGATGAAAATAATAATAATGATAATAAAGTAGATAATTATAGTAATTATAATAATAATAATAAAAGATTAAAATAATAATAATGATAATAAAGTAGATACTACTACTACTACTACTACTACTAATAATAATAATAATAGATTAAAATAATAATAATGATAATAAAGTAGATAATAATAATAATAATAATAATAATAGATTAAAATAATAATAATGATAATAAAGTAGATAATACTACTACTAGTACTACTACTAATAATAATATTAATAATAAAAAGATTAAAATAATAACAATGATAATAAAGTAGATAATAATAATAATTATAATAATAATAATAATAATAATGATAAAAGATTAAAATAATAATAATGATAATAAAGTAGATAATAATACTAATTATAATAAATGACAAAAATAATAATAATAATAAGAGAAAACAAGAATAAATAATAATAAAAGTAAACAATAATAATAAAATAGAAAAATAATAATAATAATAATAATAATAATCAAAGTAGAAAATAGAAAGAATGAGAGAAAATATTAATAATGATAATAGAAAGTAGATAAAATAATAATTATAACAATGTCTAAAATAATAATAATAATAATAATAATAATAATAAATAATAATAATAATAAAAGTAGACTGCAACAACAGCAACAACAACAACAACAACAATAATAATAATAATAATAATAATAATAATAATAATAATCATAATAATAATAATAATTGGACAGGCGTGTTGTTTTAAACACCGGGCAGAATTCACAGAACAGAACATCAGCCATAAACAGTTTGGCTGTCCCTGTGGTGCAATACAGTTTCTAACATCCTTAATTTGACCTTAGCTGACATTAAGCGAATGGATGGATATCAAAAGAAGAAAGCTTTTCACTTGTCATCTCATGCTTTATCTTGATGTTGGTCATCTGTATGGGCCCAGATTCAAAGGAGACAGAGGATTACTTCTGCTAGAACTGTTTCACAAAATACCAACAAAAGCTCTTCAAAGATTCCTGGAAACTACTGAGGATATCAATAATTCCAGTTGTAGTTGGAGCACTCGGATTGATTGGGAAAAAGTTCCGATAGACTCATAGAAAGGATTCCCGGTATCCCATGCCTTAAAGAAATACAAATAATTGTTCTCACAAGTACAGATCACACATTACGAAGGATTTTATTTATATAAAATGTGTGTGATTAAAAGAAATGATCAGTGGAGAATATCATGAAGCCATTTCTGACCATAGGTCTTTAGTTGGAACAAGGAAGGACATGGCTATACAACAGAACTCAAAGGAAATAATAATAATAATAATAATAATAATAATAATAATAATAATAATAATAAATTGTTATTAAAGACCACAAACAAAAAAAGTGCCTCCTTATTGATATGGCAGTCGCTGCAGACTGCAATGTATCTTTGAAGATATTCAAAAAGCTGTCAAAATACAAGGACCTTGAAATAAAAATCTCAAAAATGTGGCATATGGGAACATCAACAATCCCTATTGTATTTGGAGCTCTAGGATTGGTTGGAAAAGATTGCAGTAGACTAATTGAAGGGATGCCTGGAAGTCCATGCCTCAAGGAGATACAAAAAATTGTTCTGACAAGTACATCCCACATTTTACGAAGGGCTTTATCTATGTTTTTTTTTTTGTTTTTTTTTTTGTCAGTGGAAAGTGTCATGATGCCATTTCTAACCTTAGGTTCCTGGGAAAGAAATGTGTAAACGACAGAAATCAAAGGAAATAAAAAAGAATATAATAATAATTTAGTAGATTCTGGAGAAAACCAAAACAGAATCCAAAAACAAAATGTTGCAGCAAAAATGATGAAAAAGAAAGCCAAGGGTAAAGCATTTGAAAAGATGAAAGAACGCTGGCAAGACAAACTTCTGCATGGCCAATATCCAATACGTGTTAAAAAATCCGATGTTGGCACTGATCGATGGTTACGAGCATCTGGTTTAAAAGCTGAAACGGAAGGCTTTATTCTTGCAGCGCAAGACCAAAGACTTTTCACGAGAAACTTCCAGGCTGAAATCATATATAATAGTGCGGATCTAATATGGAGGTTCTGTGTCAAATATCAGGAAACCATAGACCATCTAATTTCAGGATGTTCTATACTTGCGCCAAATAATAATAATAATGCCCATAGACTATCTAACCTCAGGATATTCTGTACTTGCGCTAAACGAATATAAAAGTCCTCACAATAGAGTAGGGCAATACTTACACTGGACAATGTGCAAACACTGGAAAAAATGCTAACAAACACTGGTATGAACATCACAATTATATGGGATTACACCAACTTTACAAACAGGAAGATTGAAGCAAATAGAACGGACATAACTGTCAAAAACCGAAAAAATGCAAACTTGCCAACTTATTGATATGGCTTGCCCAGCGGACTGTAACATCGCAACCAATGAATTTGAAAAACTATCGAAGTATAAGGACCTGGAAATCAGAATAAAAAAGCATGTGAAAATTGAAAACAAGAATATTACCAGTCATAGTAGGTGCGCTTGGAATGATAAAAAAGGAACACAACAACACATTGAAAAAATCCCTGGAAACCCCAGTTAAAGACAAATACAAAAAATTGTCTTGATAAGTACAGCCCACACACTAAGAATAATTTTGCTCATGTAAAGCTAGTGATATTATGGGAATTAGAAAAACAACGCAGGAAATGTAGCCATAAAACATACCACTACCTGCTCTAGGTTTTTCCGCAGACATGGTAGGTAGTGTGGCATTGCAGAAATCGAAATGTAATAATAATAATAATAAAAATAATAATAAAAGTAAAAAATAATAATAATAATGATAATAATAGACATTAGTAGTACTAATATTAATACTATTATAAACTTAGTAGAAGTGAAGATAAGTTGTATGAGAACAAACAAGTGTGATGAAAGCTAATAAAAAGAAAGAAAGAAAGAAAGAAAGAAACAAAATGAAAAAAGAAGAAAGAATAAATAATGAAAGCTCTCAATTCAAACCCAGTCTGAAATGGGTTAGGATCCGTCAGTCTATCATACCTTAGACACACCAATGGAGTTGAGGCTGCGGAACATCTGTTGCTACTACGTCTCTAATGGGTTACGGGATTATAACTACTACTACTACTACTAATGCTATTACTACTAATACTACTAATGCTACTACTACTACTACTACTACTACTACTATCATTACTACTACTACTACTACAAATGAAAGTTTCATTTTCATTGTTCTTCACTATTTTTATAATTGCTTTTGTCTTTTTAGTTTCCTTCATTTATTTTTTATTTTTGTTTCTTTTTGTTTGTTTTTCCTTGTCATTTTTCTTCTTTTTTTTTCGTTTTTCTTTTTCTTCTTTGTGAAGTTCGGAGTATCTTTCTTTTGTTTTCGTTGTTCTTTCTTCTCTTTACATTTTTCCTTTCTTTTCTTTTCCATTTCTCTTGGTGCATCATTAATTTTCATCTTTCTTTCTTTCTTTTCTTGTAGTTTTTAATTTTTTTTTTTTTTCAGTTTTGTCTTACTTCATTTTCCTTTAATTATTCTCTTGTTTCTCTTCTTTTCTGGGATCTTCTTCAATATTCTTTTTCTCTTTCTTTTCTCCTCTTCTTATTCTCCTTTTCCTTTATTTGTAGTTTTTTTTTTCTCGTCTTCTTTTTTTCACTTATCTTTGTTCTTTCTTATTTTCTTTTTATTTTATTTCTCTTTGTTAATCATTGGTTTCAATCTTGCTTGTCCCTTTTCTTTTTTTCTGTCTCTTCTTTACTCTTTTTCGTTTTTTCTTTTTTCCTGTCTGTTTTCTTCTTTTTTCCCCCCTTTTCTTTATTTGTTCTTTCCTTTACTCATTCTCTTCCCATTATTTTATTTTTCCTTTGCTTGTTCTTTTATATTTTTCTTTGATTTTCATACATTGTTGTTTTTCTATTTTTCTCTTTTCTTTTCTCTTTTTTTTGTCCTTTTTTTTTCTCTTATTTTATTTCTCCTCTATTTCTTTTTTCGTTTTTGCTCTTACTTGTTTTTCTTATACTTTTTCTTCCTTTTTACTTCTTCTATTATTTCTTTCGTTTTTTTTTCTTTATTTCTCGTTCCTTGTTCATTTCTTTCTTTGCCTTTCTTCCATTTTTCTTTGTTCTTCATTGTTTTTTTCTTTCCTTCTCCTTTTTCTTTTCTTTCTCTTCTACTCTATTTTCTTTATCTTCTTTTTTTTTCTCCATATACGTTTCCTTTTTTTTCTTTTCTTTTTCCTTCTTTTGCTCTTTTTCCATTTAAGAGGAGATAGATACTAGTTTACATTGCTCTGTACTATTCTGCAGTCTTCTTTTTTTTTCTTCTTCATTTTTTCCCCCTTTTTTTTCTTTCTCACTTTCTCATCTCTCTTCGATTCTTTCGGTTCCCCACCCAACATTCTCAACCCTGATCCTCATTCTCTGTGGCATCGTAAATTATCGTCACGTGACATTTATGCAGATTTTATGGGTGACTTCAAGAAACGCCGATCTTTATGATGTCATCTGCCCGTAAACTGCCCATCAGATGAAAAGACACTGGTAATGAAAAACAAGAAAGCAATGTTAGGAAGGGCAAATAATCAACGTAAACAACAACAACAACAACAAGAGCAGCAATAATAATAATAATAATGATAATAATAATAATAACAATAATAACCATATAATAATTGTGCTCATCCCTTCCTTTGTTAGTTTCTTAGCTCACACGACTGTAACGAGCTGCCAATACCCCATAAATAATGGACGATTCTATTTTTAATCGCACAATTCTGAGAGAACTGGAATTCCTACCGGGATTCAGTATTGGCGGCCACAATCTTACCAACATAAGATACGCAGATGACACGGTATTGATAGCAGACACGGAAAAGAACCTACAAAACCTCCTACAGAAGGACGCGAAGGAGAGCAAGGAGAAGCGACAAAGCATAAACTACAAGAAGACAGAACCCATGGTCATTAGCAAAAAGATGAGCCCGAAATGCGATTTGCAGGTCGGGGATGCTAAAATCCAGCAGGTGCGGAAGTTTAAATATCTGGGAAGTGTTTCGACGGAGGACGGTAGGTGCGACGCTGAGATCCGAAGACGGATTGAGATGGCCAAGGACGTATTCCAAAAGCTAGGCAGAGTACTGCGAGATAGGAGGACTTCTTTGGCAATAAAGAAAAGAGCACTGAGATCTTATGTGATATCTGTCCTCCTATACGGCAGCGAATGTTGGACGGTCTCCCCAGAGATGAAGAACAAACTCGAAGCGGCGGAGATGTGGTTCTACACAAGGATGCTAAGGATATCATGGACCGATCGTGTGAGCAACGATGAGGTTTTGGAGAATATGCAAACAAGGAGGAAGCTTATACTTAACATCAGGAAAAGGCAGCTGAAATTTCTGGGGCACGTAATGAAAAAGAACGGATTGGAGAATCTGATACTCACAGGCCGAATAGAGGGAAAAAAATATTGGCTAAAAAACCAACAGCAATAGATGTGACGTTAGCATCACTGCGATACCAAATCAGGAGAATAGAGACCAAACCATTCATAGCTACAATCACACGCAGCGGCCACTAAGGACGTGTGACAGAGTATCGTGCCAATGAAACAAAACCATTTTCGTCAGTTTTTCCGGGCGTTTTTTCTTAATAGCCTTTCATAACTACCTCAGCTAGTTGACATTGTACCTTTTGAATATTAGAAATCCTACAGAGATACACCATTGGCGGTCACAATCTTAACAATATAAGATATGTAGATGACACAGTACTGATAGCAGACACGGAAAAGACACTACAAAACCTATTACAGAAGCTAGCAAAGGAGAGTGAAAAGAAGTGACTTAGCATGAACTACAAGAAGACAGAATGAATGGTCGTCAGTAAAAGGATCAGCCCGAAATGCTATTTGCAGGCCGGAGACACTAAATTCAAGCATGTGCAGAAGTTTAAATATATGGGAAGTGGTTTGACGGAGAACGGTAAGTGCGACGCTGAGATCCGAAGACGGACTGGGATGGCCAAGGACGCATTCCAAAAGCTGAGTATTTTTGCAGATATTTTATGACTGCTCCGGTCTGAGTTTTGTCCATTTTTAGATTTGGCGCATACCCCTCACCTTTGAATGGCCCCCACCTGCACAGAAATAAAGACTGAAATCTGAATTAATTTTTCTAGTTTTATAAGAAGTGGCAACGAAAATATTCAGCTATGGCTCTTCTTTTTGGGTGAGACTTAGAACGTTTCTTAAAGAACCTCGAGTATTGCGAGACATGAGGATTCCTTTGGTAACAAAGAAAAGAGTACTAAGCTGTCCCCCTTAACGGCAGCGAATGTTAGAATGTCTCCTCAAAGATGAAGAAGAGACTCGAGGCAGCGGAGACATGGTTCTACAGAAGGATTATAAGGATATCATGGACCGAACGTGGAAACAACGATGAGGTTTTGGAGGGGATGCAAACAAGGAGGAAGCTTATACTTAACTTCAGGAAGAGGCAGCTGAAATTTCTGGGAAACGTAATGAGAAAAGAAGGCCTGGAGAATCCGATACTCACAGGTCGAAAAGAAGGAAAGAAAGACGAGGGAAAGTAACGTATGGCATTTCTGGTGGGCTTAAGCAAGTGGATGACAGAACGTGATTCTCCAGGCCATCCTTTCTCATTACGTGTCCCAAAAATTTCATCTGCCTCTCCCTGATTGTCTGGGGCAGGTGACATAGGGACGAAACTTGTTGAGAGTTACAAGGAATAGGGAGAAGGGGAGAACCATGATTGCATACGTCCTGAAAGGACACGGCACATAAAAAGAAAAACGAAAGAGGGGGGGAAAGACATTACTTGATTTCAGAAAGAAAGAAATAATTAGGGAAGACAAGTATTTAACGTCTCCTACCAATGTCGCCTGCTCTACGATTTTTAATTCAGCATATTCCTTTTCTTAGACTGGTTGGCAACCAAGACACAATATTCCAGTCCGCACTGGTATTTTAACCTTTCTTGTATCTTTGTGAAGTGAGGTGAATTTTAACCCGGCTTGCTCGTCATTAAATCTTTTTATTTTAATCTTTTTACCCTAGGCAAGGCGATAAAGTCCCCAGAACGCAGGTTACACGGATCGAAAGGGAATGAGTCTTTAGTGGGAAGGATTAAGGAAAGGACAAAAAAAAGGAACGGGATTCAAAAAGACAGAAGATGGCGATTGATGTTGTATCTAAAAAAAAGTTGTAGTTATCAGGGAAGCAAGAAATCAGAAGGGAGTTTCACAAGTTGTAAGTGCCAGAACAGAAAATGCCAGAATAGAAGTGGCGGCTGCATTCTAGCTAGTTCAACTGCAAAACAGTGGGACCTAATTGTCAATCTAGTAACACGATTAGATGCAGGAAGTCGGGGAAGAAAGCTCACCAGAACAGTTGCCATGAAAATATTTATAGAAACGACAGAGGAAAGCCATGTCACGTCGGTGAAAAAATGACTGGAGTCATGATTACTGGTCAGGATCGATTATATTACAGACCCCACTTTGAATTAAGTCAAGAATATACTGGTGTGCAGCAGAAACACCAGATCAGATATGGCAGCAATATTGGATGCATGGACGAGTGATAGATTTATAAATGTGCAAGATAGAATTTGACGAGAAAAAATTTCTGGCACGATACAGTGAGGCAACTTATATCCAGGTTTTTTTTTATCGACTTTATTCTCAAAATAAATAAATAAATAAATAAAATCAAGTGTTTTTATCTCTTATTTAATTATAAATTCACTATTATTTGCATTAATTTTTGCCACTTATCAGACAGCTAACTCTTGTGCAAGATTATGAACACGACTGATAAGACTAACATATTCACACTATTTACATTATTCGGACTATTGTCCTCATCTTTGTTGCCGTATTTATTACAACGTTTCGGCCCCTTCAGTATCAGTCTATATTTCTGAGATGAGGTATTATGTACACTATTCACATTATTCGGACTATTGTTCTCATCTTTGTCGTCATATTTATTACAACGTTTCGGCCGTTGTAGACTCCGGACTTCTTCAGTATCTGTCTATATTTCTGAGATGAGGTATTATGTACATTATTTACATTATTCGGACTATTGTCCTCATCTTTATGGCCATATTTATTACAACGTTTCGGCCGTTGTACGTTCCTGCTTTCTTCAGTTGGCTGGAATAAACCAAATGATTTTCCTAGACCTTCTTTTCTTATTATGGTCATAATTAACAGGATTTCTATATTGAATAGTGGTACCCTTGTATCCACTATTTCTAAGGGCAGAATTGTAAAATTCACGATATCTATTAAAAATCTCTTTGTTAGAAGAGTGAGAACTAAATTCAATGGAGGAGGGTATGTGTGAATTTAAGAGTAGTTCAATATGGTGTAAACATTTGCCACGAACACAATGAAAATCACACCTTAGGTTTTATTATCACGGAGTTATACCTCCCCGGTACTACCAGTGCACAGAAGAGTGCAGCGCATTTAGATGGTCATTTCACGTGATTTAGCCCGCTTCCTGAAGCGGTTTACGGGGTTTGGCGCGTCGAGATTTAGGGGATGGTTGAAGACCAGTTTTGCCCGTCCATCTTAATAAGAAGAATATATATATATATATATATATATATATATATATATATATATATATATATAATATGATATATATATATTATTTATTTATGATAAAATTATAATAAACAAATAATTATCGCTCTACTATCGGTATTGAGCCCTCTTTAGATTTTGCTGTGATTAAATTTATATATTACTTTCGTTCTCATCGCATCAGTATATATATATATTATAAAGTTCTTCCAACGAGATCGTATCGAGTATATATATATATATATATATATATATATATATATATATATATATATTACATATATTTAAGGTCTCAAAGAACAGAAGAAAATTTTTAAAAATAATTTTCTTCATGTTCTTATAGATATTTTTATTTTACATATATTTACCATATTTTAAATCAATTAATTTATAATATATATATATATATATATATATATATATATATATATATATATATATATATAAAAGAAAGAACAGTAAGAGATAAAATATAGATATTTTTATTTTTAATATATTTACCATATTTTAAAAATTAATTTTAATATATATATATATATATATATGTCATTTTTTTTTTAATAAGATAATAAAATATGTTGAAATCGTTACACAAAAGCTTCTATGTTTCAATACGAGAATTGTACTCCTTCAAGCGATGCTAAGTAACTGGGTTGAATGATTTTAAGAAAATTTTTAAAAAAGTATTATCTCTTTTCCGAAAGTTAAAGGGGGAGGAAACATAAGGTCAGAATTAAAAATAGGCTTGTGGGTATGTCTTGATTAACCAATTACATGTCACATCTCCGCTAAATAGAAAAGAAAGCTCAGAGGTTGGAGGTGGGTTAGTTATTTATTCACCTCATGATAAACCGGAAGATAGCTATATCTTTTGGGTATATATATATATATATATATATATATATATATATATATATAAATTTTATTTTAACATTCTTTTTATAGATACAAGTATTTAAGTAAATGCCCTGTTTATAATAAACAGTATTAAATAACCTTTACCGGCCTGAATGCCCAAGAAATTTTCAGGGCGGTAAATGTTATTTAATACTGTTTATTATAAACAAAGCATTTACTTAAATACTTGTATCTATAAAAAGAATGCTAAACATAAAATGTCTTTAATAAATTGTCGGACTTTGTCCATTTCTTATTATATATATATATATATATATATATATATATATATATATTGGTCGGGACGGAGAATATCCGGGTTTCCCGGATATAAGAACCCGGATATAAGAGTTGTCGGGACCGGAGAAGAAGTCTCTTATATCCGGGTTTCTCTTATATTTTTGTTTAGGTAACCCAGGATATAAGAATTTGGGACCGGAGAAAATCTCTTATATCCGGGTTTCTCTTACATCCGGGTTACACTGTATCTGCATTCCCACAAATACAGTTTTAAGTAACAGACGTTCATGTACGATATTTGTCGTCTTCTAGATTCTGCTTGACACAGTGTTGATAACAGATACCGGAAGAAGACTGCAGCTCCTACGAATGGCAACGTACCAAAACGAGAAGAAAGGATGAAACGTCAATTACAAGAAGACAAAATGCATGGCTGTTAGCAGAAGGATGAGCTCAAAATGCGAACTGCAAGTCAAATAAAATGGAAATTTTTTAACAGAGGATGCATAGTCCGACACTGAAACCCGAAGGCGCATTGAGATAGCCAAAAATGCCTTCCAGAAGCTAAGTAGAGTATGAAGAAATAAGAGAAGTATATTATCTGTGACATCATATCTGTCCTCCTGTATGGCAGTGAGTACTGGACAATCTCCTCAAAGATGAAGAAGAGACTTGAACACATACACCGACCTGCAACAAGCCTCTACACAAGATCTTTCAGTACAATACAAAAGAAAAGATTCTGGTGGCGTTTGGACTGGTGATCGCGGTGGCCACTCAACAGCTCCACGTCGTCCTATCTATCCCAGTTCCCAAAACAGGGAGTTACATTTGCCGCACGCTGTAGGAATACGTAAAGATACCTTTAACTGAAAGTGACACAGACATATAAAGTAACGAGAAATGATACACGGCTTTGTGCCGGTTAAGGGTTTTGCTACGCTAAGTTTCTTGAACTGTCGTTCTTTACTTTTAATGATGCCCGAATATGACCATGGCGAAATCGTCGTGATTAAAACAGTTCGATAGCTTTAAATATTTCAATCTGTCTTTTCTACAAATGCAATGTGATAGGTCTTGATCTGGCGTCTCGCCTACCGTCACTTTTTCACAGACGTAATGCAGCTTCCCTCTGTCTTTTCTACAAAGATTGTCATGGTATCTGCTCTGACGAGCTACTTTCGCTGGTACACCAACTACATGAATTTAAGCGTGCTACTAGGTTGGCATTTCGGTCCCACCCTTTGGATAGCCGAAGATGCGTTCCAAAAGCTAAGCAAAGGATTAAGAAATATAAAACTTCGCTAGAAACAAAGAAATGTGTACTAAACTGTTACGTGATATCGGTCCTTCTGTATGGCAATGGTTACTGGACAATCTCGTCAAAGATGAGGAAGAGACTTGAAGCAGAATAGAAACCTAGTAAAAGGATGCTGAAGATGCCATGGACCAAACATGTGAACAACGACGAAGTTTTAGAGAAAATGTAATTTCTACGGTACGTAATGAGGAAAGAGGACTTGGAAAATCTGATACTCAAAGGACAGATTGAACTCATAACATGCTTAGTGGGCTTCAGTAAATGGATGTTGGAAGATGGTTTACGAGAAATAGCAAAAAGACAAAATTAAATTTATTAAGAGCAACAAAGGACAGGAAATTGTGGAGAGCCATGATTGCCTGCGACTTGAGGGGACTCGTCTGATAAAGATTCCTAGTTTGGTAGAAAAAGGAAAAAAAAAACAGGAAAGGAAAAGAATCAGTATTTCTCATTCCAGATACCAGGGATTCGTAACCTTTCACCTTTTACGACGTTTGTTGGTCAGAGGTTAAATGATGTATGACATGTAAGCACCACAGATGTTTATTTATGTGAACAGAAATCCGCCCCCCCCTACAAGGAAAGAGATGGACTTTTTTTCTTTCGATTCAATTCATTCTTCAATTTGTTTTTCTTTTATGTTTTTCATCCTTTCTATCTTTCCTCCTCATTATATATATATATATATATATATATATATATATATATATATATATATATAGTGTGTGTGTGTATGTGTCTGTGTGTGTATTTATGCAGCATTTTTTCATTCATACATGTTTCATTAAATAATATAGACAAGTGTTGTCTATTTATTTCATGTAAATTCTTTTCATAACGTCTGATACGCATAAATTGGATTAAAAAATATGGATCAATATTGTGATTTTCTTTCTTCGTTTAATGATAATGTTATTAAGCTTATGGGCAAATAGTTACCCAAAATTGTGGTCAAAAGACTATCAAAGTGAAAACCAGGAGTCCACTTTTGAAAAAACAAAAAAAAAAAAAAAAAAAAAAAAAAAAAAAACAAAAAGGTGATATTACCAGCAATACATTTTTGTAATCTTGTTGGCATTAAATAACCCATTGTGGCTGATATGCCATAAAACAAAAGAAATCAAACTACTTACTGAGTGTTCTCCAAATAAAAGCCTCATGTTTGTGTGGTATGGAGGAGGAGATAAGAAGTGCAGTTTATGAGGATATGTAGGGAAGATAACGGTTAACCCTAGAGTTGAAGAGGTTAAGAGCCACTCAGGGTAGAGGATTACTGAATCAGGTTGTTGTATGGAGTGTAAGAGGAGGGGGTAAGAAGTGCAGTTTATGAGGATATGTAGGGAAGATAACAGTTAAGCATAGACTTGAAGAGGTTAAGAGCCACTCAAGGCAGAGGGTTACTGAATGAGGTTGTTGTATGGAGTTTAAGAGTAGGAGGTAAGAAGTGCAGTTTATAAGAATATGTAGGACAGATAATAATCAAACACTTACTCGAGGATGTTGAGTTTTTTCAAGATCATCCATTTCGAAATGTGAATACATATATCGTAGGTTTAGTCCTCATCATCATCAGTACGTTGACCTCAAGAGGGAAGGTAGAAACACTGTATTCTTTTCGTAGAGTTGTTTGGAATTTGAAGTATTTAGTATGCATTAATTTCAATGCATATTTTTCTTGGATGGATTCAGCGTTGGTGCCACCAATTTTCATTCCAATTCCAGATCATTTATGGTTTTGAAAGTTCTATGATAAGTGCTAGCTTTTGAACCCCTAAAGGATGTTGATTTTCTATTCAACATTATTCTTACCCCAACTATGTATAACTACGTCATCAGCAGTACACTGTTCTCGTGTGGGAGATCAGGATCGTTTGTTTGGGGTGTGGTATGGAATACTTAACTAATCTGTGTCCATCTCTTCAAATCTACGTTTTTTCTGGGTACAATCGAGGAAAAGGCCGAAAATACTGTGGCTATCAAATGGTAAAAAAAATCTGAGTAGGTCTAATTTCTTACACCGAAGTTAAAATATGTGAGGCGACTTTAACCTTTATTACAATGTTTGTGATTTCATTTTCTGTACAAAAAATTTATCCTGCTACTGATTCTGATCCCTGAACAATGCTGTATTTGAATTTCACAGTTGTGTTGTCATATCCCGCTATGACAACAGAAAACAAGTTTGAGTGAAATTAACACTAAGGGTAATGCAACAGAGATACCTTGAAAAAGAATGCGGTGGAAAGGAATGTAATATTAATAATGCAGAGTGCGAAGGTTACACACCAAAATCTTAATTTAAATTAATCTTAATTTAATTATCTTAATTTAATTTAAAATAACATTATTTTGTGTATTTTAAATATAAACAAGAATAGGAGAAGGGACACCTTAACACGCAAATTACAAATATCACACAGAGATATACACACACACACACACACACACACACACACACACACACATATATATATATATATATATATATATATATATATATATATATATATACAGGTATATATACAGTACATAAAGTTCGTGTGCACTTTAAAAAATCTATAACTAAAATTTATAAGTTTGTAGAATGTTGAAGCAAAAAGGAAAGCAATAATTAACATCAAAAATGGATAGTTGAAATTTCTAGTGCACATATATGAGGAAAGGGGGCTTAGAAAATATGATACACACAGGGCATATTGACAGCAAGAGGGACAGAGGTAAACAATACACGACATACTTAGTGAGCACGCGTAAAATTATGACGGAACATGTTTTAGGAGAAATAGACACTATTTATTTAGAGCTACGATAGACAGGAAGTTTTGGAGAGCCATGATCGTCTACGTCCTGAAGGGACACGGCACATAAAGATAAAAAAGGTTTGGATGAAATGGAAACAAAAAGGGAACTAATATTCAATATCAGGAAGAGATAGTTGAGATTCCCGGGGCACATAATGAGGAAAGAGGGCTTGGAAAATTTGATACTCACGGGAAAGACAGAAGGCAAGACGAGCAGAGGAAAACAACGCATAATGAGACTGAGTAAAAAGATGGTGGAACAGGGTTTAGGAGAAATAACAGAAAGACAACAATTATTACGAGCTACAAGGAGTAGGAAGTAGTGGAGAGCCATGATCACCTACGACCTCTAGGGACACGGCACATAAAGATAAAGAAGTTTTGGAGGAAATGGAAACAAAAAGGGAACTAATATTCAATATCAGGAAGAGATAGTTGAGATTCCCGGGGCACATAATGAGGAAAGAGGGCTTGGAAAATTTGATACTCACGTGAGAGATAGAAGGCAAGGCCAGCAGGGGAATATAACGCATAATGAGCCTGAGTAAAAAGATGGTGGAACAGGGTTTAGGAGAAATAACAGAAAGGTAACGTTTATTAAGAGTTACAAGGAGTAGGAAGTTGTGGAGAGATATGATCGCCTACGTCCTGAGAGGTCATGGCGCATATGGATGGAAATTGAAAGAATTTGGGGTGTGAGGACACAGAGGATCCACACCACTCACAAAATCTATTTCCTTTTTCCAAATCATAAAAGTAGTTTGAAGGCATTTTTGTTTTTACAGGGTGTCTATAAAGTTCGTGTGCACTTTAAAAAATTTATAACTTTATTTGTATTTGCGATAGAAATAATTTGTAAAAAGGGTTAGAAAGAAGTAAATCTATATTTTTAAAGTTTTATTGAAATTTTATTCAAATTTCTACATGCCCTCTATCAATAGCAATACAAAGGGTAATACGATTTTGCAGTTCACGGAAAATATTTGCCAATTGATTTACAGTAATGCCTGAAATCACATTAGTTATTTTAGCTATACTTAAAACTAGGTACATTAAACTTTATCACATTTTTTACAGATTATTTCTATCGCAAATACAAATAAAGTTATAAATTTTTTAAAGTTCACACAAACTTTATGGGCACCCTGTATATGTTTTTTCTGTGTTCCAACAGCTTACATATCTGGGAAGTTTTTTTTTTTTTTTTACAGTGAGGGAAGTGTGACACTGAAATCCAAAGGTCTATTGGCATTACGAAAGGTGCCTTCCAAAAGCTAAGCAAAATATAAAGGAACAGAAAAATTGTTTTCTGTTTCGAAAATCATTATCTTGAAGATTTTAGTGAGAATGTTGATATTTCGGCCAAGAATATTTTTAATCGAACGATGAATGCCTACGTCATCAGCATATGGCCACTGATTATTAGTACTTTGTCCACGGGAAAGAAATCAGAAACGTTGCTTTCATTTGTAGATTCGCTTTTGGTGTGCTACGGGACGCTTAAATGAACAGATGCCATCTGTTCACATCTGTTCTTGCATCTAGATCACATAGAATAAAGGAAGATAATATGAGCAGGTAATTCAAAGTGCATATACGCAGTCTTAAGTTGCAGACGATAAGAAACTAACGCTCACATCCGGGGTCAAGACGACCACTTTTCCGCACCCCCGTCGGATAAAGATTTCCGGAAAGAAATGTGTGTTAATGTAGATTTATTTTGAGCCGTGTTCACACGAAAATGATTTTGCACGAAAATAACCACCTCTGCATGATTTATACTGAAAAAAAGCCATTAAGGTCCTCGAATGTCTTCGTTTTTAAATTAATTCCTAAATTCTCAGACACCAAGGAATGACGTAAAAATGTAAAGATGCATGGGTGGAAATTGGCAGATTTCCTTTTCACAGTTATATATATATATATATATATATATATATATATATATATATATATATATATATATATATATATATATATTTGTGTGTGTGTGTTTCTATCTACCTAGCTCAGTTTTTTCATCTATCTATCTATCTATCTATCTATCTATCTATGTTTTTACCTAGATAACTATCTATCACAGTCTCTTAATATCTATATACTTCTCTTAGACTTTGTGTATCTATCTATCTATCTATCTATCTATCTATCTATCTATCTATCTATCTATCTCAATCTGTTTTTATATCTATCTTCGTTTCGATATAACAATCTATCTGAGTCTCTTAATAACTATATACTTCTCTTAGTCTGCGCATATCTATCGTTTTTTTAAATTTTGTTCCTATCTCTCTATCTCAGTTTATTCATATCTATCTATCTATCTATCTATCTATCTATCTATCTATCTATCTATCTAAGTTTTGTTTATCTAAGTTTGTTTATATCTATCCATCGGTCTGTCTATATAAATCAATTATATATATATATATAATATATATATATATATATATATATATACATATACATATATATATATATATATATATATATATATATATATATATATATATATATATATATATATATATATATATATTTCTTTTAAGTTTGCTTGAATCGTGACCTGTTTCTGTTTATCTATGTTGAAAATAGATAGATAAATAGATAGAACAAAAAGAGATAGGTAGATCTCTCTTTTTTGTTCATATCTATCTATCTCATATTTATCTATCTATCAGGCACGAAATTTACTTTACAAAATAACCCAAATCTTTGTAAGGTAATCTAAAAACGGGGGTAGGGGTGGAGCCTAATGTCATTATTAAAAACACTTTTAATTGGTTAATCCAGACATGCCCACAAGTATATTTTTAAAATCTGACATTAGGCTTTTTAACTTTCAAAAGAAGCAACGATTTGTTTTCAAATTTCGCAAATAAATCATTTTTATTATATGTTATCTACCATCACCCGGTGAGGAACAATTAAAGATTTTTGTGTAAGGATGAAAAAAGTTTTTATTGCAATCTATTTTAACAGAAATATTTTAATAATATTTTGCTCTTTCTATTGAGCACTTTTTGAAAAAGTAAATGCTAAGAACTTTGGATTGTAAATGCGAAGATTCGTTCTTTCTTTTTCTTATATTGTTTTAAGGAAGGGTTACTGAATGAGGAATAATTAAATTCTAATGTTTATAACATTATACTCGCTAGCGGCGTGAAATAGTTAAACCACATATTACGCCCAATAGAAAAAAAAAACCATTAGGATTACGTATTAATATACATATTAGTAATATCGTATAAATTAGATAACATATATTTCCACTATTTACATTATTCTTTGTTGCCATATTTGTCATATTTATCAAAGTCGAACTGAACCCTTTATTTCGTTCTAGTTTCACGTGTCATGTCTATGGATGTCAGTTGTCAGTTATCTCCTGTTAATTGACAGTTCTTCCCTACCTTAATCAGGTATTGAACTTACAACTCCAGTCACTGGATCTAACCAGCGCCTTTATCCACTGTATCATGTGTCTTTATGTGTTCGAATTTCTGGGACTTATAAATTTAATGTCTTCAGCAACAATTTTCACCAGCTAATATGGCAATTTTTGCTGTTATCATTCCATGTTTTTTTTTTTTTTTTACCAGAGCTCATATTGCAATTTTTGTTGTTATTATTGCTTTTCTCTGTCCCTCCTTATTACTGGTTCCCATATTGTATTCATTTCTATGCTTGGTCGGCTCGGGAGATTCTTGTGGCCTAGCATATGTGCTGATTCGAATTTACGAATTTTACAATGATGTTTTTGTCTATGATTTCAACCTGATCCCACAGAAGAGAAAAAAATATAATAAATAATTATTGCTCTGTGAATGTTAGAATCTATATATTATTTTCATTCTCATTACATTCGGATTATATATATATATATATATATATATATATATATATATATATATATATATATATATATAAATATATAACCAGGACACTAGACCAGATGAGATATGGCAACAATATTCAATACACGGACGAATGGTAGATTTATAAATAATCAAATGTTGCCGGGAAACATTTCATCTTAGCAGCAGACCTTGCAATTGTTATATATAATATATCATTATATATCATATTATATAATATATAATTATATATATTATATTATATTATATAATATATAATTATATATATTATATTATACAGTGCTGTTCGATAAAAGTGACTCACCTGATTTTTTTTACTAAATGTTCTCTTCTCCAATGAAACGAAAGTTGAGCTAAATTCAAAGGATAAGCGATCTAAAATCCGAAGAAGAAGCTATGAAAGCTCTTTGAATTTAGCAGTAAGTACTGTCAAACATTCGTTCAGTATATTGTTCTGGGGATGCTTTTCTTTTCACGGAACTGTTTCTTAAAACTTACTGAAAGACCCACAGGACCGAGCAGTACAAGAGAATTTTAGAGTCTTGTCTGCTCCCTTCTGCTGAAAGGGTGCAAATCGACCCCACCAAGCTCATTTTTATGCAAGATAATGCTCCCTGTCACAAATCAAAATTGATGAAGGAATACTTTGATGAGAAGCAGGTGAGTGTTATGACACAACCACCCCAATCTTCTGACCTCAGACCGATAGAAAACTTATGGAGCATTATAAATTACAGGCTCTCGAGAAAGCAGTTGAGCAACAAAGAGGATTTGATTGTGAATTTTATATCTGAATGGAATTCAATGCTTGGAGATGGGATTTGCCAGAACCTAATCAAGTCAATGCCAAAAAGGGTTGAAAAGGTTATTCAAAATAAAGAAGGACCCAGAGATTATTAAATATTTCGAACTATATTACCTATTATAAATAAATTATACCTCTATTATTCTTTATTTAAAGCTGTTTCTATTGATTACTAGTTGCAGGAAATAAGTGAGTCACTTTTTTCCTAAATCTTATTTATATCCAAAATTATAATTATCAATAGAATACCTTAGACTGAGTAAACTTTTTTACTGGGTGGTCGGGAAGGGATCTTTATATTAGTAAGATTAAAAATTAGTTTGACCCTAAAACAAAAGGCGAAGAGTTTTTAAGTAAAAAAAAATCAGGTGAGTCACTTTTAACGAACAACACTGTATATAATATACTATAATATTATTAATATATATATATATATATATATATATATATATATATATATATATATATATATATATAAAATATCATAATGAGAAGCCACGTATACTTTCTTCATATGTATATATAGAAAAAGTTGCAAATTAAAAAATAAGAATGTTTTTTTAAACAACATCTAAAATATTATTCCAGTTAGATTTACGTTAAGAATATTCGAACACAGTGGCGTTCCATATCACGTGACGTCCGCATCTCGCGACGGACGCTACTTGTAAACAACCAGTTTTTTCTGAAGAAAGATTGAGGTCAATCTGAAATATCAAATATATATATATATATAAATAAATACATACTTTCATAAAAAAACATTATTTTTTTAATTTGTAACTTTTTCTATATATTATATAAATATATAAATATATATATATATATATATATATATATATATAATACCTATATTATATATATTGTATATAATATAATATGCAAATTAATCTCTCCATTTCATGTCAGTAGAAAACGTGAGACCAATGACTTGACCTGGAAGTTAGCATCTGTCATGCTAATGGAATGCAATGATTGTTCATTATGATTATTAATGGATAACAATATCTTTTTGGAGGCGTTAAAATTTACAAGCCATTTTTTGCTCTAGTTAACAATTGATTGGAGGCCATTTTGATAGCAGCTGCCAGTTTTACATTGTGGCAATTATCGGAATTACTATTAAGAAAGGAGCAAATAGTTATCTTCAGTATAAATGCTTAATTGGGAAATAATACTTGTAAAACCATAGTTTCATGTTGAATGACATTTTCTTTTGTTTCCTTTCATTTTTTTTTCATTTTCTGGAATCTGAAATTTCCTTTTTTTTTATTTGAAAGTAATGTTTTATAAAATACGTGTATTGTTTACAGGTATTTACCGTACCTCTTGTTACATATTCTGTGAATAATTTGTCGTTCTAACGAAGCTTAATTTTGCAGTAAATTAGCAGGCAAAATTACAAAGAATTAAACGTTCTCGTCGTCTGCGCGTCACCGAAATTTGACCTCCCGACTTATTAGGAATCATCTCGATGCTTAAGTGGCGGGAAAAAAAGGAAAGTAATGAGATGAGCAGTCATGCTTACTTTACCTTTCAATTCGGGAGTGTCTGCTTGTGTAACATCATACAACTTGAGTAGTAATTTCGCAATTAAAATAAAATTCAATACATTTGTTATATATATATATATATATATATATATATATATATATATATATATATATATATATATATTTTTAAGACATTTTATGCTTATATATTCTTTTTATAGATACACATATTTAAGTAAATGTTCTGTTTATACTAAACAACATTTACCGGCCTGAATGTCCGAGATATTTTCACAGAAAATATTCGTCCTCCGACTTCGGTTTGTTTACATTTGATACGCCATGAGCAGATATGAATGTACGTTAGAGATTCATGGAAGATTGAAGTTTAAAGACAGTAAATTCGACCTTGCTAACCGAACGATCCTCTGTCGCCGAATCAGTTAAACGCACGTCAAGCTAAATGACGGTTCCGTATAGGATACAGGTTCGAATCCTGTCGGAAGACGAATATTTTCTATGAAAATTTCTCGGTAAATGTTGTTTAATGCTGTTTATTATAAACAGAGCATTTACTTAAATATTTGTATCTATAAAAAGAATGTATAAACATAAAATATCTTAAAGTAATTGTCGGACTTTGTTCATTTCATATATATATATATATATATATATGTGTGTGTGTGTGTGTGAATTGGGATCAAATACAGAGCAAATCAGTCAGTTATTTGCCATGCGTGATACACGCTTAGGCAATCATGTATCTTTCCATACATGACTGACGAGGCAGATTTTTTTTCCGTAGTAGGTTGCCATCTCTTTCTGCGGTAGACCAGTTGCCATCCAAAGCTACAGAACCCAGTCTGTCCTTCTATTTACCTATAGCTGCGGGGAGGAGAGGAAGACGTTTCATACCATTCCCAAGGTAATTCCGGAATTCCTCCTCGTGCTATTCTCTGGCTTTATAACAGCCAGATCAGGCCGAATATGGAGAACTCTTGGCATCTGACCTCTCGTCCGATCTAACATTAACTTCCCAGGGGAAACTAGCTGGTTACATTCAATGCCGCTAAGACCAAACTGGTTACATTCCATTATCGTCAGTCAGACCCCGAACTACCGCCAGTCACGATGAACTGATGTCCTGTCGACCAGGTGCCGTGCCTTGAGAGGTTATTGGGCCTCAAACTCACACCGGACCTCAAATTGAACGCCTATATACCATCCATCACTAAAGATGCAGGTAAAATGATCGGCTTCATGTACCTGACGCCTATTCTCTGCCATTATAAGAAGTAGAGCAGGCCGAATATGGAAAACTGTTGGCATATTTAGACTGGAGCTACCCAGACCTCACTTTCCAGTCATGAAATATATTTTCCACCTTCCGACCGTTCTCACACAGGTGGGATGTTCTCTGTCACTACCAACATGGAAAGTGCTCGGACGAACTACATTCCTTGGGTCCGTCTAATCTAAACTTCGCGGCTAGGACCCGCCATGCAACTTACATAATAACAATCCTTCCGC